GTCTGTGAGCAATTGTGGCAACCATTACGATGTACACTTCAATCTGTGTACTCAGTTCTATCTGCTGTCGTTGGCTTATTGCTGTACGTGAAATCTTCAATGTCTTAATAGTGAAATTTACATATTTAGGATGCCCTCAGGGCTTTGTGGAATGCTGCATTTCCTGAAGAAGAGCTTCATGGCTTGATATCTGAGCAGTGGAAGGAAATGGGTGGCAAGGGAAAGATCCATCAACAGATTTTAGGTACCTATTGTCCTCGTGTTCTTCACTACTGAGCTCTTTCCAGCTAATATTGTTAATGGACTTCCTCTATATATTTGGCAGGGGTGGTGGTTATATCGTGGAAAATTTTCTTTACTTTGCTAGGAATTTCCCGGTACGATATCTTATGGGCTTTTCACTCTTACATGATTTTTGATAGATTACTTTTGTTGACCAAAATTAAAGTTTAGAATGGAAGCATTGATGAAAGAGAGCTCATCGTTAAGTAACATGGACATGTATTAGTATTTGTATTTCTTTCAAGAGAATGGGCCTTTAGTTATTAGTTTCTAATATTGAAAGGGACTTCTGTAGAGATATAATGTTATTGTTGGGTATTGGTTTTTGAACAATGGGTATTTCTCACTCTGTAACGATTTCAGATGAAGTATGAATTCGTGTGTTTGAACTTTTTCCATGATAGAAGAATTGTGGCCATATATATTGTGTACGGTTTGTGTTTGCCATATATTGCATATTCTCTTGCTTTCTTTGAGATAAAGGTTCAGTAGCAAGTGAGATTGCAATATAAAGGGGAACTATGTTTCAATTAATTGATTTCTTTTTTTGCCTTTGTCTTTGTTTTAAAATTACACGTAAAGGAAGCTTTGATGACTCCGAAAGTAAACATATTTAATCCTATTTATTGCTTTAGGCCTTCCACAATCAACAATGATATGTGGACACTTCAACCTCTTATTTATTTTTCTCTCTTGCATCTTGTCATATCATAATACCTTTCTCGTTATTACTCTCTCCCTTTTGTCATTCTCTCTCAAGTTAGACTAGCTTTTGGTTGTCCACAACATTATTGTTCCATAATTTACTATTGTAGCTAATCTAAAAGTTACTTTGTACATTTTCCTGTGAGACCCTCGGTACCGTATTAGTTTATCTTTGTAATTAATGTTGTTTTGGTCCCCGATAACTACACAAGTTTTTCTTACATCTTCTAATAATTGTATCCATTTAATTTATTATCTTATCCTTTTATTTTTGTAAGGAAATCCTTCCAGAGATCTTTTACGAAGCAGAAGGAGATCGATCCGTGTGGGAATATCAATTTTGCCGTGCTGGTTGTTAATATCACTTACATGCTGATACAAATGCTGGATCTTGAAGCGGGTTTGTTACTTCTGTTGTTCTGATTTTTTTGTTTGCCGTTATAACTTCTTTGTTGTGTTGTTGTCACGTCTAAAATGAAGAACTGGGTCACGTCAAAAATCAAGTTCATTGAATACCCATGATAAAAGTCTACTTAATATTTACAGTGCTCTTTCAATTGGTATATGGAAATTTTTTACTTGCATAAAGCGATAACAAAAAAAAAAAAAAAAAGGTCACTGTTATTACTATCTGAGTCATGTGGTACATATTTTGAAAATACATTGAATCAGGTATGTGGACACGAACATCTATAATATGCTTTGCCTTTACGTCAGACACGCAAACTGGTTGGAAGCAACTTTTTTAAAATCCTTGCAGGTAAGCCGAACTCTCCCTTCAATCTTTATTTTCGTCTTGTGAATTGGAGAGGATCAGGGAGGGTTGAAATTCTAGTTAAATTGAAAAGGGATTATTTATTTATAGCTTTTACTTGCAAGTTGGAGCCTTCATTTTATGTTAAGCTTGCTGTTTGAGTAACTAAATTCATTCCTGTTTGTCTGACAGAAAATGAGTCAGCTTTTGATCTTCTCTACTGCATAACTTTCAAGCTAATGGATCATCAATGGCTTTCTATGCGGGCCTCATACATGGATTTTAATGTACGTATTCTATGACCTCAGCTTAATGTAGAAAATTTGTGGCACAGATAATTTTTTTCTTGTGTAGAAGTTTGATGAGAACAGAAAATTAGTAAAACTTCTCCATCTTTCAAAATAATTGAAAGATATCCTGGAACTGAAAAAACTAGTTTGAATATTTTTATGCGACGAGGAAATGCTCTGCATGAGCACTTCACTGAGTAACTGGCATGATCCTTTATGACTAAAATATATTTTTGGTTATTCATGTTTTTACTAAAATTCATATTGATCTTTTGTCTTCTAAAATACAAACGTTGGTAATTTTTCACTTAAATTTTGGTCCTTTTGTCTCTTAAATTCTGACAGGTAGTGATGAAAGCAACACGACGTCAACTAGAGAAAGAGATTCTGGTTGAAGACATAACGCGGCTTGAAGATTTACCCTCTTACAAATTACTCTCCCGATAGTATCAGTCTCCTATTTGTGGCATGAGGCTTTGTATATTCATTCCATGCTCCTATCTTAATTTCCACTCCTCTCTAATTCAGCAATTTTAAGCCATTCAGCGAGAATGAGCTATATAACATGTAAAACTGATGTCATGAGCTTAATTCCTTATACGTGATCTCAACAAGGTTTGAGATTCAGCAGTTAAGTTGAAAGATGATATTTGTTGCCTGAAATGTAGGTTTGCTTGCTATATTGGACACTTTTGATTTGTGATTTGTCACACTTTACCTAGATATTTCCTTGCAGTATTAACGGGGTAATGCCAGCTTGAGGTAATGGGGTTCAGAGACACCTATTTCATGTTATGACCCTTGATAATACACTCCATATTTGTTTGTCATAGAACAAATGACTGAATTTTAATATATCTTCCAGAAACTCTAGACATCAACTTTCAGTTTCATAGTTTTGTTCATCGGTCATTTTTTAAATAATAGCACATTTTCAAGGATAAATTGCACTCAACAATCAGTTACCATTAATATAATATGGAAGTATGATAATTCTTCCCATTATACAACTACCGTTGCATAGAAATTTAACAATGTTTCTAAATTTTAAGTTATTGTTCAGACTCGATAAAAACTATACTCTTTTTTGGGTTATGATCGCAAATCCCTTGTTTAAAATTGTGATCATTGTAGTAAACAACTTAATGAAAAAGTACCAATATCGTTATTTATCAAACCCATTCTACTCTATTATATAAAGCATTTTTTTATAATTTTTGGTTAATATATCAAATATTGTATCTATCCTAAATATAAAGAAATTGTCGTGTATCAGTGTCCTATTAAGTATACGTCTTTCATAGGAAAAAATATTACATGGCATTATCATATAAGGATGATAATTAATAAGAATATCAATTATAACTAAACTTTAATAAATTTTTGTAATTATAACGTGCTCCCTCCAATTTGAACAAAGAGGAAATAATATAAAAGAAAGTACTATAATTGTGTAAAAAGACAATCATTCATATATTGTTTTTTTCTTTCCTTGGTCACTGTTTGCTTTAATTTATAATCATTCTTTTATATTTTTTTATCATGAAAAAAAAAATTTAAATGTATTTTTCAAAATACATTTCACTTAAAAAATTAACTTTTAAACTTCATCTTAGTTAGAGGTATTTAGGTTATTTAAAATCTACTTTTGTATGTACTTTATTCGTAATATACAAAAAAAAAAATCATTTCTCTTTTATCTTACTTTGTTATGGTTTTTATTTCACTTTACTGGATGAACTAAGAAATAACTTTGATCTTGTCCTTAAATTTAAAAGAAAAAATCATTTCGAAGAATCAGCACATGAAAAAAAAAATTCACAACTTACTAATGTTACTTATCGGAAGTTAAACAAGGTAAATTGCATTGAATTAATATCATTTTGTTTTTGAGATTACGTGCATATATGAGGGGGGACAAACTAAACTAAATCTTCTACAAAATTAGTTTGCACGTAAATTAAATAAAGTAATTTTCCCAATACTTCCGATTATGATAAATAGTTTTTTCCTTCTATAAATGCTTTTAAAAAGTCATTGTATTAGATCATGCCGGACTTCTTAGACAAAGCAACTTAACAAAATACAGTAGCGATTTGAATAAAAAACATTAGATATTAGTAAAATTGAGAATCGTTAAGTGGGATGGGGGAAAAGTCGTAGTTAATAGTTAATAAATTTAATTATATAAAATTTGAGCAATTATAACATATGATTTCTTAAAGGACGAAAGCATACTTTCAAAATAATTAAAAATGTTATCTGATCATATCTGGTCTTAGCATACATAATTGTACGTGAGTGATTTTGAAAGGCACACGAAGGTTCCTTCTATGATGATCATAGTGATAATAAGACAAGAATATTATTGAAACTTTTGTTATTGAGTGTTTTGATATTCTGTTCTCAAACCCCTTTTTCATTTTACTTTTCACATAACATTAACAAGGGTGCCTACCAATATTTGTTGTGGCCACATGCTATGATTTAGAGCAGAATTCTTACCCACTCATAATTATTATTAAATCTGTACCGTTTTGTTAGCTTTTATAAAATATTGCTAACAAATCTATTATTGTACAAAATTTTATCTATTATTGTAGTTATTATTGTTTTGAAAGAAATCAGAGTTTTAAGCGATTTATAAAACTCCTTTTCCAAGCTTTAAATTACCATTCCAAGCAAATTATTTAAACTAAATTTGAATGAGATAACGTGTGCATAGAAGATTCAAACTAAACAGCATTGCACCATCTCAAGCAAAAACATACAAAACGATAAGCAAAAGCAAAACTAGTTTGAAAAAATTTTGATTTATCAGACTGTGAGATGTTTTCAACAGGACATAGCATAAGCAGAGACATGAGGATACAAAACCAAGGTACCAAACTCTAACAAAAGCCCAGAAATGGACCGAAACAGAACATGTTGTAAGATTAAGAGAATCTGATCATCCTAAGGCAAGCAACTTCAAGATCAACTTGAAGCATATGGTTTACTCATAGATCCAAGAGTGTTGGGAGCTTTGCCAGTTAACAGAGCCATCAGGGAACCACAATGCAATTTCCTTGCGAGCACTCTCAACTGAATCACTTCCATGGATAACATTCCTACACAAGAACAACTTCATCAGAAAAAGTATCAAACTTCCCTCAAATTAACCAATTCAATCAATTAATAAAAAAGAGAAGTGAGAAAACACCATTCACTGAAAAATTCATTTGGGAAATCCCAACCCATTGAAAAGGTCAAGAAAAAATTTACGTCAAATTGATCAAAAAAACTTAATAAAAAGGTAGAATTGTACATAACTCCAGGAAAGAAAGAAAAAAGCATGTGACAAAACATTGACTCTTCTTAAAATACCCAACAAATTTGATTTTGATTTTGATGCATGAATAATGACATAATATACAGACACCCATGGATTATTGGGTCCCCTCCCTTTCATTTTATTCGTTTCATTGTCTTATATCTACCTTATAATTGAAGATGTTTATGGAAAACATTGCAACATCCACATTAAGAGAAAATAAATAAATTTTAGGGCACTTTTTGTCTCTAAAAACACAAAGGTTCTGGGGACACCAACATCTCATAAAAAACAAAAAAAAAAATTGAATACAAAACAAACCCACAAAAGATAACCTAATATCAACATAAACTAAATTAGAAACATGAAACAAGGGAAACACCTTTGGTTTATGCAGATGAAAAAAAAACTAAAATTGTGAAGAAGAAAACAAATTTATGACCTTCCCAATGTCAATAGCATAGTCACCACGGATAGTTCCAGGCTCAGATTGAGCTGGGTTAGTGGCCCCAATAATCTTTCGGCCAGTAACCACAACATTTTTACCCTCCCAAATCATGGCAACAACAGGGCCAGAGATAATGTAATCCACCAATCCACTGAAGAAAGGCTTGGCAGATAAATCAGCATAGTGCTTTTCAGCAAAAGCACGCTCCACGCTAATAAGTTTCAAACCTGATACCAAATCACATTAAAACAACCGTTTGTTAATAACAATTTCAAAACTAATAAACTTGATCATAACTCATACTAAGCACAAGATCTTGGTGTTCGAATATGAGGTCCAAGCAGATAAAAATTCACAAAATACATGAACTTTAGCTTTAATCTAGATCAGAAACAAAACAATAGGTTCTGATCTTAAATCACAACAAAAATTCAGTATGCTATGAGCAGTAACAAAAAAATACTGTCAAGTTAAAAACCTTTCGTCCAAATCTGGCAATGATATCACCAACCCGGAAACAGATCACTATCAGTCAAATAAAAATACATATTGAATGATCTTCAACTTCATAACACAAACGTTTATACAAAACGAATTACCGACACAGAAAAATCGATTCATAAAACAACCATCGTCCCATTTTAAGGAAATCCATATAAAGCAAACAAATCTTCTAAACCCTCCAATTTCCCAAGACACAAAAACAAATCCTTAACAAGGTTATCAACTCATTCTCTGAAAAGTCATAAACATCAAACCCACTTTCTCTAAACTTCACATAACCAAAAAACAAATCACTAACACAGTCGTCGACCTTTCCTGAAAAGTCATGAATAGCCAACCCAAGTTTTCATTTTTTTTTCAATTTTTCATTTCTATAAAATTTGAAACAATTTTTTATTCCTTTTAGAATAGCTGAATTTTGATATTATTTTTTATAAAATACAAATGTTTTATTTTCAATCTTTAAAATTTTCTAATCACTATTTATAATTTTTTTATATTTATTTAAAATAGATAAATAACATTTATTTTATAGATATTAAAATTTAGGTATCACAAAATAACATTGTATTATAACAATAGATATTTTATTTTAACACATGAATTGTTAAGTACTATTACTAAGATAATATTAACATAAAAAATAAAAATTTGCAAATTAAAAACAATTTTTTAAAGATTTATTATTCATACAAACAATTTTAATTGAGTTTCTAAATGTTTAATTTTTATATATTTTTTAATTAGCCGTTTTTGATTAATCTTTCCCAAATAAGTAACTTCTATTATTTTTATTAAACTTTGTATTAAATATATAGATCTAATTTGGAATTTCCTTTTATTGAATATTTTTCTTTCTAATTCGTTAATTCGTTATCTAGTGCACTTTAACAAAAATATTTCTTAAAATAATAATAAAACATTTCTATTTATGACAGCTTTGACCACAATTAATTCAAGTCATAAACAGTAGCAGCAGCAGTAGTACTCGTACTCGTTTCCAAAACGCTTCCGTTTTATATATATTCTTTTTTCTTTAAATACAATGTCGTTTCCCATTGTTGTGTTGAAAAATTAATTCCATAACCAACCACTCTCTCTCACTGTCTCCCTCTCTTTCTATCTATATCTAACAAAACGCCAACTCCATAACCAAAACGACACTCTCTCTCTCATATATACTTCAAACTTCATACACATAGAAAACTCCTTCTCCTTCTTCCGTGAACCTGTAACTGTTTTCCGCACTCTCAGATCTTCGCGCCGAACCTTTTCCAGTTCGATTCGCGTTCTTCGGATTTTCGCCAGAATGAGAGATTCAAGGTTATAGATTAAGATGCTACAGTATCAGTAACGGTAGCTTTTCGGAAAAGAAGAACACAACAATGGAGGATAGAGGAAGCTCATTCGTTGCTGTGAGGAGAATTCCTCAAGGAGAAACCTGCCATTCAAATTCTGGTAAATTTCAGAACAAAATGAAAAATAGAAAAACGAAAATGCTTCGAAGTTTCTCGTTTATTTTTTGTTTTTTTTTTCCGTTAATTTCGCTCTCTCTATGTATATTTGAAAGTTTTTTTTTTCATTGTTCTCTTATTATAGGTTTAGTTTTTGTACTTGTACTTTGTATTGTGTTGTGTTGCACCTCCTCTTTCCTTTTGCTTTTTTTTTCTCTTTCTCTCTCTTACTCTTTTCTGCAAAAATATAATATATATATATCACCATTTTGCAATGAATTAAAACATATATTGGTAAAAGTATATTTCACTCTGGAGTCTCGTTCTTGGTATGGTCTTTTAATGTTCCAAAAATGGAGTTTTCAAGAGCGGTTCATCTTAATTGGTCAGGTTGAAATCGACGTTCGTCATAGGTTTGGAATATATTATTTGTGTTCGCTTCTTTCTTAAAACCGATGTTCAACTTTGGTCTTATTCCATTCTCAAATTTGAGAGATCTCTCATGTCTCGCTCATGTGTTCGGCCTAGTTAGTTGAGTTAGGGTTGAACGTTCGTTATTTGGGAATCCAATGGAAACTTGTAAGAGGTGATTTTAAATGAGATGTTATTAATAAAAGATAGAAGAAAATGTTAATAGGAATGTTTGATTAGGATGACGAGCGTTCCGGGGAGGAAGAACAGTCATGTGATGAAAATTGGAATGTTGTAAAGTATATGACTGTCGGTAATGCTAAGCTGTCGGTCATCCTGATGTTCGTGAAAGTACTCGTACTCACGTAGAGGAGGGTAGGTCATTGTGTTGGGAACGACAGGAGGTCTAGTCCTTAGGGGTACTTGGACGATAGGACTTAACCGGTGTGTGGGCAGCTGATGAGAGTGTTCCGTTACAATCACCCGGGTGCACGAACGTCGTAGCTACACAGATTTCATACAGTCCGGACGGTCAATCTAGTATATTAGGCTTGTGTGAACGAACTCTGATGTATTTTGTTTGAATGATTTTGTGAAATGTACGATATGCATGAATTAAATTACATAAGCTTACCCTGCATTTCCTGTGTTGTCTGTTTTGTACGTCCGTCCTTGTCGTTGCAAGTGGATGTGAGCAGAAGGAGACGAGCTGCTGGAAGAGACGCTGGAAGAAGAAAATTTGGTAGAAGTAGAAGTAAAGACCGAACAATAGAACGTTCGGTCAGTAGTTTAGTATAGCAAGGTGGTCGTTCGATCACCTCCCCTTTTGATGTTTTGTTCGAGCGTTCGGTAGTTCCTTTTGTAAACCGTTCGGTCGGACTTGTACTGCTGTATAGTTTAATTGTAACTCTTTATGTAAGGCCGTTCGGCCATAACCGCACGCCCTTTTTAATTTTAAGACTGATCTGAATTATTATTAAATGTAAATATTCTATCAGATAGTTTATCTGTATTTGGGATGTACATCGCATTTTCATTTATTTATTATTTTTGAGTTTGTTTATTGTATTGTTTAGTTTGTTCGTTTACTATCAAACGAGGGCGGTAATTTGTTTACGTTTAACTTGATTGTTAATTATATATATATATATATATATATATATATATTTCTCATGTAAAAAAATTTGTAAAATGAAAAAAATAAATTAAAAGTGCTACATGTCAAATTTTCTATTAAATGAATTATATCGCTTTAAATATAAAACGTTTTAGTTAGAGAAAGTTCTAAATAATTGCTTTTAACAAAAAAAGAAATAAAAGAAATGTTAACTTAAAAATAGAATAAAAAATTGTTGAACAACGCTGAAACTAAACACATTGCGAAAACTATTCATTAAAATAATCAATTCTGTAATAATTTCAAATATAAAGGTCAAATGCATTAAATAGCAAAGAGTACTCCTTTAAATCATTTAATTATAATTAAAACATAATTATTATTGCTTGAAGAAATGTATATTATGGTTTGGTTCTGAAATTATTGGACATTGTATTATAACTTTCAGTCAAAAGGAAACATTGTAACTTTAGTCTGTATTCAAACTAAGTCCTTCAGTTTTTAGTTGTTTCATTCAAATGTTTAATTTTATCAATGCTTTGTGTAATAAGAAGATTTAATTTTAGAGAAATAATATTTTTAAATAAATAAAAAATAAAGCTATTGAATTTTCAATTATAACTTTAAAAGTTAACTTAGAACATCATTATCATTATTTATCAAATTTTGACACTCCCTCGTCTAATACTTATTTACTATAGGTTACACTAGTACACTTATATTTTAATCCACTGGGATGGTGTTTTGCAGACACTAGTGCAGAATTGGCTTTTAACGTCCCCTCATAGACGTCCGTCTACAAAAGCCCCCGTATATAATTGACCGATGGCATATTCGTAAATAAGTGAAACTCGAGACGTCCGTCCTTGGCGAGCTGGACGTTTATAATATTATAGACGTTCCGTGGGAGGGGGACGGACGTCTACTAGGCTCCCCATGTTAGCCCTTAAACGTCCGTCCTGGGACGAGACGGACGTTTATAATATTATGAACTTCGTTCTGGGGGGACGGACGTTTTTTTTTTTTTTTTTTTTTTTTTTTAGTAAGGCTGAAACAAGTGAAGTTTCAGTCCCATGGCCAAGCCCTTAGAAACGTCCGTCCTGGGGCGAGACGGACGTGTATAATATTATGAACGTCCGCTGGGGGGACGGACGTATAGTGAGGTGACACTGAACGTTTCAAATCCCCATGTGTTCAGCCACTTGAACGTCCGTCCTGTGGGAGGGCGGCGACTTTATAAATGATAGACGTCCATACCTGGGAGGGCGCGGAGTTTTATAATATATAGACGTCGGGGAGGGGGCGGACGTTACTGGTGTGACACTGAACGTTTCAACTCCCATTTGTGTCAGGCCATCTGAAACGTCGTCTGGTGAGTGGCGGACGTTTATAGTATTTATCAGACGTCCGTGGGAGGGGGCGGACGTTCACTAGGCTGAAACTGAACGTTTCAACTCCCCATTGTGTCAAGCCATTGAACGTCTGTCCTGGGGGGCGGGACGTTTATATTATTATAGACGTCCGGGGAGGGGGACGGAAGTTCACTAGGGGGGGCTAAACACTGAACGTTTTCAACTCCCATGTGTCTAGCCACTTTGAACGTCCGTCCTGGGAGGGCGGCGAACATTTATATATTATAGACGTCCGTTGGGAGGGGGGGGAGTTACTAGGCTGAAACACTGAAGTTTCAAATCCCCACTGTGTCGAGCACTGAACGCTTATCCTGGGTGGCGGCGGACGTTTTATATTATTATAGA